CTGAAAAAATGAGACTGATTATGCGAATGATTAGTGATTGTGTAGCACCGAATAATTAGCACAAGAGACATTTCTAGGAAGAAAAAGACAAAACCTCCAAGTGACTGAGATTAGCTTGAGTTTCTGGGAGACCTGAGTTCCAGTCTCGATGCTACTCACCACTTGCTTTGACCTCAGGTAGACTGTTTAATGTCCTTAAACCTTAGGGTCCTTAAAAACACAGTATCTTGCCGGGCGTTGGTGGCTCACGCCTTTAATCCTAGCACTCGAGAGGCAGAGGCAGGCCGAGCTCTGTGAGTTTGAGGCCAGCCTGGTCTATAGAGTGAGTTCCAGGACAGCCTCCGAAACAGTAGAGAAACCCTGTCTCGAAAAACCAAAAAGAAAAAAAAAAGTGTCTCTCCCTCCCTCCCTCTCCTCTTTCTCTCTTTCTCTTCCCTCTGTACATTAGTTTGCATGCACATCTGTGCATCTGTGCTTGTGGAGGCCAGAGGACAGCCTCTGGGGTCATCCTTAGGAACACTGGCCACCTCCTTGGAGACAGAGTCTTTCACTGGCCTGGAGAGCTCACCAACTGGCTAGACTGGCTGACCAGTATGCCCCAGGAATCCTCCTGTCTCCATTGCCCCAGAACTGGGATTATAAACACTTGCTATAACATCCAGGATTTTAAATTTTAAACTATTTATTTTTCTTTTTTGTATGAGTTTTTTTTTTTTTGAGACAGGGTTTCTCTGTGGCTTTGAAGGATATCCTGGAACTAGCTCTTGTAGACCAGGCTGGTCACAAACTCAACAGAGATCTGCCTGCCTCTGCCTCCCGAGTGCTGGGATTAAAGGTGTGCGCCACCAACGTCTGGCGTGTATGAGTGTTTTGCCTGAATGTATGTCTGCATGCCACATGTGTGCAATGCCTGTGAAGGCCAGAGAGGGTGTAGGATTTCTTGGAACTGGAGTTACAAGTGGTCATTAATACAAAGTCTCAAATTAGCAAACTTGGGTGTGCTTACTACAGTTGATTTTCTCAGGTATTTGTTATAGTAATGGTAAGCTGGTCAACAAATTGTATTTCTGAGAATATTACTACAATAATGTTACATGTTTGCCAGGTCACATCTCTGTTACCACCTTGTTCTGTGTTTAAACCACTGTTACTTGGCCCTTTGTATTTGCAGATCCCATGTCTGTAGATTCAACCAATGTGGACAAATGATACTGGGGAACCTGCGTCTGAACCAAACACGTATAGAGTTTGTGCCATTATTCTCCAAACAATCTAGCATAAAAACTCTTTATATGGTATTTGCAATATATTAGGCATTAGAAACAATCTAGAGATTGTATGTATATAGAAAGATATGTGTAGGTTCTATGCAAATACAATGTTATTTATGTATATGTTCAGTATGTGTATATAGTCATACATACACACACGTATGAGTGTGTGTGTGCGCGTGCACGCACGCGTGTGTGCATGTGTATAAAGGTCAAATCAACCTCTATTATAGTTCCTTGCAGCCATCTACACCTTGCCTTTGTCCTGTTGAACTGTGTTGCCAGTCCTATTTTCCCAAATAAAATGATTGATTGTATGGCCCCTGCAGCAAAGATTGCCATAGATTTTGAAAGGGAAGGAAGTCTTGGTGTCGACAGGAGCAGCTTGGCAGATCTATCCAGGGTTTGGGATAATAAAAGAGTGGTTTCACTCACTAATAGTTTAGGAAATGGTCTCATCAAAAAACAATCAAAGTTAGTAGATCACATTCAATTTAAGGGTCATGTATTTAATTCTTCATTGACTTATATTAGGATTCTCGATCTCAGCACTGTTGAGTATTTGTGAGTTATTGGAGAAAGGAATGAACCCAGGGCATTGCACATGGTAGGTGTCTCAGGTTTCTATTGCTGTGATAAAACATTATGGCCAAAATCAACCTGTGGAGGAAAAGGCTTATTTGACTTACAGAAACTCAAGGCAGGAACCTGAAGGCAGGAACTGAAGCAGAAGCCACAGATGAATGCTGCTTATATATTGACTTTCTCTTCATGGTTTGCTCAGCCTGCTTTCTTACACACCCCCAGACCACCTGCCAAGGAGAGGCACTGCCCATAGTGGACTGGGCCCTCCTATCTTAATCATCAATTAAGAAAATGCCCCACAGCCATTCCTACAGGTTACTGGTGGGTCCATTTTCTTTTTAGATGACAAACACACATGTAAACAAAAATCAATCAACACACTAGGCAAAAGCTCTATGATGGAGCCACACCCCCAGTCCTTACGTTTTTTTGTACCACCTAATTTTCTGAGGTGGCAGCCGTTACAGGTTATTTGGCAGATATCTGTACTCTGCCTTCTATAACACAGTAGACATACCCTCCCAGCTCTAGAGAGGTAGAGGCAGGTGGATTATCTAGTTCCAGGCCAGCCTGTTTTACAAGCAAGCTTCAGGACAGCAAGGGCTATATAGAGAAACTCAAACAAAGCAATAAACTAAAACAAATCCAATACACACACACACACACACACACACACACACACACACACACACCTACCTATAAATGTATGACCTTGTCAACTTGACACAGCCTAGAGTCACCTGGGAAGAGAGCCTGTATGAGGGACTGTCTGGGGGCTGGCCTGAGGGCAGGTCTGTGAGGGATCGCCTTAACTGACTTAATTGAGGCAGGAATGTAAATGGCCCTACTTCATAGGTTGAGCCCTGAACTGTGTAAGAGTAGAGAAAACTAGCTGAGCAGATGTAAGCAAGCAAGCCAGCAGTGCGTGTTCTTTTCTCTTTGCTCTTGGCTGCAGATGTGAGGTGACCAATTGTTCGAAGTTCCTGCCACCCTGGCTCCCCTGCTATCATACAACTACATGTAGAGTGAAGACTTTTCCTTGACAGCCTCTTTGGTTTTTCCCCACCAGTCGCCTGGGCTCTGCCGCATTGTAGTCCCCAAATAACATACAAGACGCTGTATTAATTATGAAGCTGTTGGCCTTGCTTGTTTCTTACTGGCTAGCTCTGACTTAAGTATTTAACCCATTGAAGTATTTCTCTTACCGGACAGACTTCTTACTTCTCTGGCAGGCTACATGATGACTCCCTGTGTTTCTCCTCCCCAGAGTCGTCCTGGACTCCTAGTCCCACCTATCTTGCTTCCCTATTGGCCAATAGTGCTTTATTGACATATACACAGGACTTCCCTTTTCTGTCTAAACAATAGAAAGGTCTTAACTTTAACACAGTCAAATTATATACAACAGAACAATTATCAAGTAAGAACACAGTTACAATATTTTGTCTATCAACATTTAGCAAGATTTAAAGAAAAGATCATCCATCCCATCCTTGTGAGTCCAAAGTTTTATATGTAGCTTATCTTTTATCATAAGGAAAACTATAATTACAACTATCTGTCTTCAACTCTATCAAAGACCACAGAAGGATAATATATAAATACTAGAATTGACAGAGACATCTTGCTACCTGGACAGTCACCCGAAGTTTGTCTGTGTCTGGAAGACTTTTCAGCAAAGCAGGAAATTTTAGACTGTCCATCTGCATCAGCAGTCTGTCAGTCATTTTTCTGTGTCCTGCAGAAAGTCTTGAAGGCTCTTCCATGAATCAGGAACCCTGAAGGACTGTTTGAGTTCAGCAGTCACTTTCCTGTGGGTCCTGCATGTCCAGTTTATACAGCAACAGTCAAGCAGTCTAGGCAAGAACAGTTTCTTGCCCAAATGGCTAATCTTGCCATGTTGAAAGCAAACTCCATAACAAGTTTCTTTGATGCTCATCTTCCTCTCAGATGTAATTGGTGATGTCAGGAGCAGACACTTCCCATTGTCAAGAAAAACCCTAAAACATTTTAAATGCCATTTTCTGAAAGTCTTTGAAAGGTTTCAAGACTGTCTATCTCAAATATATTTCTGTATACCTAGAAAACCTAACTTACCTAATTATAAGTTCTGACTATTATAAGTAACTATAATCTGTATTTAATTATGCATTATGTTTTAAAAGATTAGTATAAACACAATACTTAATCAAGAGGAGAAATATAGACATCACAAAATTGACCTTGAATTTGTATCAATAAATGAAAAACCATACCAATACAAAGTACCATAATCCCCCTTTTCCTTTCTTTTCCTTTAAAAAGAGATTGGTTGTGATCATTAACCAATTATAAACGTCGCTCATTCCAAACTGCTGGATGGGTGCTATTCATACCATAAGGATCATGACAAAACTTAGAAACCTGTGTAAGTCCTTATTTTCATGGTCTGTAAGGTTCCATCATCTTAGTTGTTTTATATGTTGAATCACTTGGGCCACTGCTTCTGGGAGTCTTGGTTCATCAAACCACAGAAGCCTGGAAGGAATCCACAGCTTTCCATTTTCTGTAGAAACATAAACAAAAACTCTTTTCCAAAGTAAAATATCCTTATATGGAGAAAAGGGTCTGGGTTTCTTGCCCCTATGGCGGTTACATTTTTCTTCTCACAGGTCCCCATGAGATTGTCATCGTCCCATCTCAGCAGGAAGTAGTTTTGAGAATTCCTCGCCCCCTCTCCCTACTATTGATATTATAGGATAGTTTACACCTGTTAGTGTTAGTTTTCAATTATTTTGGAGTTGGGATTGGAAAGAGGTGTTCAGACTTGGGTGTTTCTTTCAGACAAGTCTAGGTTTAGATGGGATAGATGTTTGATACATTTTGTTCATTGACACAAGTTGTTTTAAGTTTAAATATCCTTTTTAGACTAAAGGGGGAATTGTAGGAGGAAACAGTGCTCTGCCATTAGCCATGTGACTTATTAGAGGCGCATACAGATGAGGTAATAAAAAGGCGGTTTACCACACCGCTAACCACACCCACTCTAGGCATGACTGAAGACGTATATGGACATAGGCAGTGAACTACGTCACTAGCCAAGCCCACTTTTGGGCATGCCTAGGGGCGTTACGGAGGAAGGTATAAAAGACTGAACAGCGGAAGTCTCGCTTTTTTTTCCCCCGGCTTTCCGGCTACCAGTTCGGCAGTGGAAAACTACTCAGCTCATCTGGGTTACTTGTTTGTCTCTTGTGAGTAATTTCTACAATAAATACTTACTTATACTCTCAGTAAGTGTGCCTTTTATCGTTGCAGCATCACATACTAACTAAATCCTTCTCCCTTAAGTTAATCTTTGTCAGTGTTTTTTTTATCAGAGCAAGAGAGATGAAATTAGGGCAATATGTTACAAATAGCTCCACTCTGTCTTACTTTCTCCTATATGTCTTTCCTTGTGTGGAAATGTTTAACTTTGACACAGTCTAATACATATGTAATATAAATAAATATATAAACATATATATTTAATCCTTTGTCCTTTTGGGGCCTTCTTTAAAAAAAACATCTACTCTAAGGACATAAACACGGTACCCTATATGTCTAAATGTTTTAACGTTTTATTGAAATATTTGCTTTTATTCCTACAGAAGTCCCTTTTCTTGTTTTTCTCAGTGGGGCCTTATTGTTCCATTGACGCTGGCCTGGCAATCCCAGTTCTTCTACCTCTCCAGTCCTAGAATTGCAGGAGTGAGCCACCATGCTTGTATCCATCTGGAGGTTTTCCCTGCATGCAGTGTAAGGTAAGGACCACCTATGTTTCTCAACCTCACTACAACCCTTTGGGGTAGATGTTATTCTTCACCTACTGAATAGACAGAGCTTAGATAAAGGAGTTCTCTCCCTGCCTCCCTCTTGCATCCTTACTGTTAGGCCTCATGCGACTCTAGGACCAGGAGGGAATGGAGAAATGTGTGATGAACTCACTTTCATTCTAGTGTAGAAGTTCAGGTTCACTTTGCACAGGTGTGCAGAGTTGAACATGAAAAGGCATTCCTTTTGGCTTCCCGCAATCTATTTATCCTCCCTGGAGGTAATCACTGCTGACAGTTTCCTGGATATAAATTTTGGAATATTATCATGGACATGAAGCTTAAAGCAGAATTCACAGCAACTAGTCATTCTGTAGATGTCTGCAGTCTTTTGAGTTACATGTTTCAAAGATGAGGACTATTGTCCTTGATTTCTTTCCACTCCCAAAGAAGTTGCTAGGTGACCCTGCCAACCTCACCAGCAGGCCACCAAACCAGCCCTGCAGCCACCTCCCCTCCACCCACACTGACCTATATATAAGCAGACACCAGAAACGATGTGGGAGGATCCCTGGAGCAGGTAGCCTTCTAGGATAATGCTTCTTCTGAACCCAGGGACTTATGGGTAGGATGGGGGGTTCTATGGACAGGGATAGAAATCAGTCCATTCTTGTTTTCAGTGTCCTCTGGGTGGAATTTAGTATTCTCTTTCAATTATGAATTCAATCAACCAGTTTTAGTAGCATTAGCAACAGCTGCTGCAACTTTGTCACCAATAGAAACCGCAGGTGTTTTCCCATCACACACAGTTGTGGGGATCTTAAAATATCACTTCAATTCATTCTTAGAAATACTGCTATACAGGACAGCTTCTAAAGCCACAGAGAAACCCTGTCTCGAAAAACAAAAGAAAACAAAAAAAGTTATTGCTATAACCTGTTACATTGGGTGATAACAAAGTAGCACATGAGTGAAATAAGCTAGACAGAGAAGGACAAACAGACTTCAACCTAAATAGACAAACACAGGCAGCAGAGAATGGGAGGATGGGAGCTTCTGGGGTGGGGTAGGGGGTTGGGGAGAGAACTGGCGGGGGCATGAGGTGGCGGGAGAACCTGGTAGTACTGATCCATGAGTATAAAGGTTCAGTTACACAAGTTGAATATGCTGTACAACACATTGACAAATGTTGACAACACTCCATTACTCACTTAGGACATTGATAAGATGTTAGCCCTCGTGTTGTCCTCATAATAAAAAAGAAATGAATGAAGGAATGAAGAACTGAATAAGGTTGAAGGATACTTTTGAAGGCAATGAATATATTTATGACAGATTCTAAGGGTGTTTCATGGGTAGACACTCTAAAATATTTATATAACATATGTATTATACACATTAAAAATACATAGATTTTTATAAGTCAACTTCATCTCACTAAAAAAGCTCAATTAAATGCACTATTATTAAAGAACATATTTTAAAGTGATTTTGATAATTGCATCTTAGGAATAATTGTGTCCTTGGTGGTCATGTACACTTTGTTTTATAAACTTTATAAAGTTTACCTGAGAAGGGTTCATAAATGTCACATGACTGCTAAAGGCTTCTAAATACAAAATACTCCAGAGGGAGGGTCTGTGAGATGGCTGCTTTCTTATTGATGACCCTTGATCTATAAAGGCTCAATGTGTGTGCGTGTGTGTGTGTGTGTGTGTGTGTGTGTGTGTGTGTTTCCTTAATGATGATGTGAGAGTCTTTCTCCCTAGTTAGTGATATGTAGGGGTCATAGTTTCCTGTTAGCATTGAAGTCATAAGGAGAAAGTAACTGAAATTCCACCATGTACCATGGGATAAGTTAGGCGAATTACCTGCATTAACTACTCACAATACTTTCAAGTTATGATGATGTGCGGTTGGGAAGCCATAAACCATATCCAGTAGAGCAACACCTGTGGCTCAAACCAAGCTCACAAAGACACTGTTGTCTTTTTGTCTTGGTGGCTGTGTGTTGAGACACAGGGACTTGTATGTGTATTCTGTCACAGTCACTGTTAGAGTAGCACATGTTCCTAGAGAGGCGGATCTGTACCCTCCACATGCAGAGTTAAGGGGTTTGTGTGAGCCAAGATGATCTCTACTTTTCATCTGGAAACACAGAAAGCCAAAGCTTTGCTAGGATAGCCCACCCAGCAGGTGAAGAGGAGGAAGTTCCCACTGTCCTCATCTGCAGTGTCCAGATGACGAACGAACTGCGGGTGTGAATCCTGCAAAGGTGCCAGTGTTGGTGCAGACACCCTTGGGCTGGGACTCACACGGGTGAGCAGGAGCCTGGGAGCAGGGTGCCTCAGGGAAGATCCAGACAGCAGTTTTTCCCAAAGGACCTTCATAGGGAGAGCCTCTTAGAAACAGACTCAGTGGTGGGGCTGGAGCCATATGCATTAAGAATCCTTGCCAGGCAGTGGTGGTGAACACCTTTAATGCCAGCACTTGGGAGGCAGAGGCAGGAGGATCTCTGTGAGTTCAAAGCCAGCCTGTTCCAGGACAAGCTCCAAAGTAATAGAGAAACCCTGTCTCAAAAAACTAAAAAAAAATCCTCTAATCCTTCCACCTTCCTTTTTCCTGGCTCAACATTAGAGAGAGAGAGAGAGAGAGAGAGAGAGAGAGAGAGAGAGAGGGAGGGAGAGAGGGAGAGAGAGGGAGGGGGGCATAAAAAGCAAGGGAAGATACTTTTTTTTAAAAAAAGAACATAGAAACAATTTTTGGTCACATGTAGTACTTGAGATTGGGGACAGGGGAGACTCAGACGAAATACAAAATTAATCTTTGGCTTAGCATATTGAATATTTAAACACCTGAAATGGAATCTCAGGGGGTTTTAAAACTGAGTCCCTGGGGAGCTATCTGTTCAGCACAAGGAGATAAGAAGTGACCAGAAATGTGGAGATCTGGATGCAGGGGTTGAAAAAAAATCCATGAAGCCATTTGAGATGTGCACACAACAGTTTGGATTGTCCCTTTGTTCATTGCTCTGGTTGTCTGCTTTGCTTTATGACTTAGTTTTTAAATACAATTACTTTTTTCACCCCAGTCACACATATTTTTACAGTTGACTTTCTTTAGAAACCATTTGCCATGCCCTGTCAGGCAGACATCTTCTATCCCGAGATCAGGCTTGCCCATGTGGCCAGGAAAGCTCACTCACCTGGGAGGTGTCATCAGGCAGAGGCTCCTGTTCCTCTTGCAGTGTGCAGGGCTCCGCTGGCTTTGTACTAGGCTGGCTACTGCTAAGGCCCTGTGGGAGCAGAAGGGAAGAGAGTGGAACTGAGTCCCCAGGGTATGTCATGTGTCGGAAATCTGTGTATGTAGCCGGGCAGGGCAGAGCAGTGGAAGCTAGTGTCGGCACTCCTTGGTTCAGGTCTACAGTCTGCATAGCCGTGAGAGGCTGACATCCATCCTTAGGTGGCTGCAGCCTGCGGCCCAGGGGTAGGGTGAATTTGTGGCTGGTTCTTGGAGGATCTGAGGCAGCTTTCCATCCCACTTACCTACCTGTCTCTCCATCACTCTGCAGTGTGAGGGGAGCTCCCTGTGGCACCATGGCTTAACCCGCCACCACCGTCTTAATCGGCCACCACCACTCTTCGTGTCTGACCAAGCCCTCCAGCACCATTCTTTCTGCCTGCCTTCCAGACCCTCTTCTTTTTCTCTTTTTCCCCCATCTCCATTTTAGATGCTTTTTTTCTTTCTTATAGTCTCCCAGTGCTCCCCCTGTCCTTAGTTTGTCTCCATAACTTCTCCCTTCATTCAAAATTAGAGATGCTGAGAACTTTTCCCACTTCAAATCATCCCTAGATATTACTATAAAATTCTGACATTTAAAATTATTGCCATTTAGTAGCTCACACATTCAAGAGGCTATGAAAGGACCCTTCATAGTTGATTGACATTTCCCAAAGTTAAAACAATTACTTCCTCACAGCTTATATAGGGTAGCACTACCTTGAATGCTTTTCTGTACTGAGTTTTGCTTGAGGTAGTATTCAAACTACTACTTTGTTGGCCCACAGTAGAAGGACAGAAGACAGAACCCCTGGCCCAGCATCTGGAGTTCTCACCATGAAAATTTGATCCCGATGGTCCTTTTCAAAGGCATGCTAGTCACTTAGGCTGTTTAATACACTAGCATCCTTTAATACTGTGAGAAGGATTTATATCTTGACTACTCATAAAGATGAAAATAGGGCAGACGCCCAATGATTTATGTGAACACTTCATGTGCAAAAGACCTGGAGGCTTTAGTTAACTATAAGATTTATGTAAGCTGAAAGTGTTACGTGGCTTTGGGATGACAAATATAGACGTTGAATGAATTGCCAGAAGTGGAGCATTCCAAACACAGGCAACACCGGCAAGGCGGTAGTCCCTCTACAGCCAAAGAGCATATTTAGTGATGATTACCATGAAGCAGAGAAATCTGAGTTCCATGCCCACATGTGGACACACAGTGGAAGAAAATATAAACCTCATGCATAATCTCATGACTCTGTTTTCTGTGTGGTGGTGGTGCATGCCTTTGATCCCAGTACTGGGGAGGCAGAGGCAGGTGGATCTCTGAGTTGGAGGCCAGCTTGGTCTGCAGAGCATGTTTCAGGACAGCTAGAGCTGTTACACAGAGAAAAGCTATCTAAAAAAAAAACAAATAAAAAAGGACAACAACAAAAGAAAACAGCAACAACCCCCCAAAACAGAGTGCCATGGTTAACATTATTTTTCGGGGGGGAGGGGGAAGGGAGATGACCTCCTAGCATGTTTGCAAAAAACAAGGAAAAAACTTAATAGGCACATTGACAGAATAGAGAAGGGGATCAGGTCAGGATGGGTTGCCACAGGGATTTGGGATGTGGAAAAGGGTGTCAGGATTCAGAGGAGCCCATCTATTTATCCTGTGTACTCTAGAAACTCTAGTTGAGCAGAGAAGAAAGGAATGCTGA